AGGGGGAGGGGCAGAGAGAGAGGGAGACACAGAATCGGAAACAGGCTCCAGGCTCTGAGCCATCAGCCCAGAGCCCCACAGAATCGGAAACAGGCTCCAGGCTCTGAGCCATCAGCCCAGAGCCTGTCGCGGGGCTCGAACTCACGGACCGCGAGATCGTGACCTGGCTGAAGTCGGACGCTTAACCGACTGCGCCACCCAGGCGCCCCCATAAGAGACTCTTAAATACAGAGAACAAACTGAGGGTTGTGGGAGGGAAGGTGGGGGGGAGGATGGCCTATACTGGTGATGGGTACTAAGGAGGGCACTTGTTGGGATGAGCACTGGGTGTTATATGTAAGTGATGAATCACTACATTCTACTCCTGAAACCAATACTACACCTCATGTTAACTAACTTGAATTTAAATTTTTAAAAAAGTAGAAAAAATAAAATGACTCTATGAAAAAAAAAAAAAGGATTTCTAGGGGAAAATGGTAACGAAAAGATGACCTATTTTCATTGAGGGAGTTAAGTAAAGTCTGTGCAAAAAGGAAAATTGTAAACAGAAAAGAATAGGAAAGTATATATTAGATATTATAATCTTAAATTAGGAAAAAGATTAATTAAGGTAAGGAAACCAAAGGGAAGAAATAAAATATGTACACAGAGATTGATGAACAAGAAAACCATCAAACTAACCAACTTACAAGTCTGCTTCCTTGAAAATAAAAGTAAACAAGTAACATAATCTAGAATAAAGGGGAAAATCCCCAAAGCACCAAATTTATAATGAGAAAGAAAGAGAAATCAAAAACTTGGAAAACATTAAGATGAGTAAGTGAAAGAAAATACTTAGCTTAAAATCATGCACATCTTGATTTTTCTTTTTCTAGGAAAAGACAAATTAGGCACTGACTCTGGAATAGGTAGAATAAACAGATGAACTTTGGGTTTGAAAAATGAGAAAAGTTGTCAAACACCTGCCCTTTGCCCTCTCCAAATATAAACACATATGGAGCACTAGGGTGTTTTTCTCAGGTGAATTCTACTAACCCTTCAAAAACATATAATTCCTATATTATTCATACCAGTGTTCTCAAACTTACAAAAACACCTGGAGATGTTATTAAAATGCAGATTCAGCTTCAGTTGCTTTGCATAAGGTCTAAGAGTCTAGCAATCTCCCAGGTGATGTTGATAGTGTTACTTAAGCCAGATATCAAGTTGCAAAGGTTTAAACTGTTACATTACCTACAGAAAGAAAGCTTCCAGACACTTGTTATAAAGTGTATTCCAAAATTGATATTAAAACCTTATAAGTATA